TGCCGCTGCATATTTTAATGCGAACGATAGACACGACATTTATACTACGCGCCAAATGCAAATTAATCCAGCTATTTATTTTGGAACCGGCTTCGAACTATTTTCCAGAAAAAAAATCAAGTGATTTTAGAGTTTCGATCTGTTCTTCAAAAGAAAATCAAATTATTGGTTATAAATCTACCGCGAACTTTCACGCATTTACGGGAAATTTGTAAGTGTAGAGTTGCAAAGAATACACACAGTACGAATGAATGTGTAAAATAAAGTGTAATGCTTTTTAGGGTATTTCCGAATCGTAACGTACTAGAAATGGGAGATACGAAAGCATGAATTTTGTAGGGGAAAAAAGCAGAAATTTGAATACATGGGAAATTTGGAAGTGCAGAATTGCAGGGAATGTGCACGATACGAATGAATACGTAAAACGTCTATAGTGTAATGTTTTTTTTATAATATTTTTGGATTCTGATGCGTTCATGGGAGATTTGGAAATATGAAATTGCGACGAATACGCGCAATACGGAAAAATACGTAAAATATCCAAAGCTGTACATACACAGTATTCGTTGAAAAATAATTTTATTAGTTTACAATTAACTTTCAATCAATTCTACTTCTATCGTTCTATTTTATTATTCTGTCTTAAGGTATATAATTGTGCCTTGAAAATTTAAGTTTGTTTGAAAATCCACTGTCTAGTTACAATTCTAAATTATCCTTTCATTCTTAAACAGTTTCTTTTAAGCCACTTTCAAAATAAATACCTCAATTAGCTTAAAAATATTAACACTAGGTTTACTGACAATTATCGTACGGTTTATTTTATTGCCCCTAAAAAAATTGATGTTCGTTCGTTTAGGTCTCGAAAATAATGGATTTAAAAATAAAACCGAACTATCAATTGCACCGATCAAAACCGACATAAACATTAAACAACTAATGTTTATAAAATTCAATATCTGTCAGATTAACGTATCCCATAAACCTAATATTAACTTTTACACTTTTCCACGTTCCAGCCTGATCGTTGGAAAGACGGAATAAAACGGATCCGCGGCGATCGCGCGCTGGAATTTCGCGTTATTAAATCATCGATCGCGACGCGGCCTGTCTATAACGCGACTGCAAATTATGCTGCAATCGTATCCTGACACAATCCTTGCGTTAATTAATACACGCCCCATAACTCGGTCACGGACACCGGTTTTAATGGTGCATATTCAGCCCCCATGAATAATTCCATAAATCAGAGTTTTAACGTGAATTATCGGACGGTATTAATATTATTTGAGTTATGAAACGCGCGAATTACGATCCCGAGTTTCTGCGATTTTGAGTTATTTACGGTGAACGATGACGAACGAATCGTGATCCATTTCTTTCGTTTTAGGTTTCGTCAAATCGTCGACCACGCGTTAATACTGAAACTACCGAACAATTAGAATGACTTATTTGCGTCACTCGTCGAACACATCGATTAACTCCACGAAACAAAAATTAAAGGAAAGTGATGCAACGGTTAAGTACACTTCGATTTGAAAAATTTCCCTTTAAATGCAAAATCAAAACGTCATTATGCAATGTATTTTACTTAATCAACACAGTCATGCATTCAGTTTAACAAATATATGGAATACATAAAGTAGTGTATTCTTGAAGTAACATTTATTATTATTGCAATTTTTACAATTGCAAAAGACTTTTTATTACTTCGTAGTACCAAACTCAATCATAATGATATTTATATTAAATATGAAAAGTTGCATGAATTAGTTTAATGATAAAATCTTAAAAAATTCGAGAAGTGGAGTTAATTGATTTAGCCAGTGAGCGGCTCATTTCCAATTTTTTATAAAAATCAACTAATTTAGTTAGTTAAAAATTGAAATTCGAAAACTAATATAATTTACAAAAATTGGAACAATATGTTTCTTAATATTCGAAAGATCTCTTGGTCTTGTATCTGTACAAAAACACAAATTTAATTCAAAGTCTTTCGCAAAAACGCCTTCATTATTTAAATACTTGCAAAATAAAACTTCTGAAATAGGTCGATTTGAACCAACTGGTAAGTTTAGTGTTGAAATTAACTATGATTTATTCCTCAACCATGGTTAATACAACTACAGTCGTTGATAAAAAAAATTAGAGACACCATTGATGTCATCCTAGAGAAGATCAGCAATGAATCAGCAATCTGATTCTTGTCTGATCGTTTCCTGATTTTAATTCTTTATAACTCACGCTTAATTTCTTAGCTTTACACTTGATCTTAATAACTGAAACGTCCAAGTGCTCTTTTTTATATTTAATTACTAGATAACGTTGGATTTAATTTTGGTTAATACTTAATACCTGTCTTTATTCATACTTTTTCTTAAATCTGTCATAAATAAGAGAACTATAACTTATATTCCAAATACTTCGCACGAAATAATACGTTTTATCAATTTTATTTTATTAATTCGCTTACATCATAATTTATATCTTATAAACAGAGTTTCATTATGAAGAATATACAAATATTTTAATATGTTAAGTTGTTCACATTTAGAATATCGTGCAACAAGATTCGTTGTAAAATTACAATAAAGAAGCTACTGGCAACCGGAACAGCGTCAATCACATGCTTCAACGTGTTTTAATTGTATAATACCTAGTTATATTAGTCATGGTTGCATTTTATATACCTTTTTATGCAAGATTTTAATCGTGGGAACGCGACGAAAGTCTTTCAGGAATCGGGCATAGGAACACCAGGAGGATTAAAAAAGAATAATGTGCTCGAAAGTGTGCAATGCTTTCTGCAGTTGGCTAATCTTAATACATCCGGGAAGTCATGGCCTTAAGCTGGATTCTCACTATTCGTTAATACAGCCCGGTGCTCTCTGTTGAAATATCTTTAATGGAACCGCCTGCGAATGTTACTGTGTGAAATCCATTAAAGAGTACGTATTTTCACAGGGACCAGAATCCGGCAGTTTTAATCGATAACGTTGTCCAAAAATGTTCAACTTGTTTTAGGTGAATTCCTCGATTTCCTTTTTAGATTCAGATACGAATCGAATAATCGTTTCTCTGTTTCATCTTTCGCAAGACAATAAATATTCAATGATTGAATCGTTTCAATTATTGGAAAATTTAAATTTGAACGGGAAATCAAATTTTCTTTTCTTCTCTCATACATTAAAAATTATTTACAAGTGGGATTTTCTGAATTTTCTTATAAAAAGTAATACTACAGACTCTTCTTAGTAAAATGATGCAATTTTTATAATATTACCAACATTCACATGTGTTCAACAGTTTTTGAAAATATTTTTCAATATTATGTAACAAAATAATACAGTAAAAAATAAGTTTACAATATACTAGACTAAATAAAAATATGCAAAAAGAGAAACTAAAAATTTGTTGGACAACGTTAGTTTGGCGAATGTCTGTAGAGAAAGAGAATAACAAAATAATTTTCCCTGATATCCACATCGTTTCCAATCACAGTTCGTTGACAATAAAAAAGAAATAATTTATATAACAAATTGGAATAAAAAAACAATTTAATTCGACAATATAAGGCAATTTAATTTACTGTGAAAAAATAATTTTATTCCACCATAAAAAATAATTCTATTCAACGATTTAAGAGAACAATTTGATTTAGTGTGAAAAAATAATTTAATTCGGAAATGTAAAAATACAATGTAATTTAACGTGAAAAAGTAATATAATTTAACGATTTGGAGGAATAATTTAATTTCACGTGAAAAAGTCAAGAACCATGATTTTTGTAATCTAAATGGAAAAGAACAACAGAATAATAATTATTTTTTCAATGGAAGTGTCTTTGATTACGAATAATAACTACGAGTGACCGAAATATATATAATTACGTAGGAATCTAGATAAAAATTATTATAATAAATCTAAATACTTATAAACAGTAACAAAATTTACTGTATCCATTTTTTGTATTAAGATCCAGCTAGATTTTATTATTAATCTCCTCGATTTCAATAATAAGCATCAATTACCGATCTTCGTTAGACGAATTTTTCCGATAACTTTTATTTGTACTCCCTGCTGTAAACAAATCGAAATGAACATTTTAGAAAACCTCACCCCTAATTGTAAACAGATCTAATAGATATTATCGCAAATCTAAATACATTAAGTATTTAGAAAATTGACAAAAACTTCGTCTTAATGTCCTCGCACATTTTCTAATCAACATCCTCAACTTTAATAATGAACTACTTTCAATTGCCAATCTTCTGCGATAACCACTATCCCCGATAACTTCAATATTATATTATCAAATTAAAATTGTCAAATTGATCATTAAAATTATGTCTAATTCCGATCATTTCTGTGGTAACTGTTATTTTCATCCTCTGGAGGAAATAATGCTTAAAAAGCTATACTACACTAATAAAATCTAATCCGCACAGTGAACATTAAATAATTGCAACATCGCCAGCCCCACTACATCCCCATTAGTTAACCTTGATACAAAATTATAAATGAACCGCTCACATCAAATCGACGATCTCCAGGTTTCGAATTTTTTCAGATTTTATCATTAAACCGGTTCATTCAGTTCTTTTATATTTAATATAAATTTCATTATGACTGAATTTGGTACCATGAAATAATATAAAGTCTTTTGCTCATGTAAAGATTACAATAAAAATAAAAATCACTTCACGAGCATACTATTTTATATGTTATAATACATTGTTCGGTAGTTTTAGTGTTAATGTTGACGAATGCTTCGACCTTCAGTCTTTCTTTTCCCTTCACTCGTCTTTTCTACGTCCGCCATGCTAGAATCCTCATTTCTTACGGTCGAGTCGATTCTAAAACTTACCCCTTCGTAATTGCAGCATTCAGGTCTCGATGAGTGTCGCGATCATCCAATGTTCGCTGTACTAACAAATAATTAGATCTCCACTAATCTGTACTAATAACGCTAAAAAACTCGTTCTGTTTTCTGATTACAGGCGCCCATGTCTCTACCGCATCCGACGACGCTGACGTCGATACACGCGTCGCTGCCCCATTTCTTACCCTCGCCGGCACTGGCATCGCCGGTGGGCTCGCCCTCGTCACAGCCGAACATAGCCGTCAGCAATGCACCGTGTTCCACCCTCTTTGTGGCGAACCTGGGCCAGTTCGTTTCTGAGCACGAACTCAAGGACATCTTTGGCAGGTTAGAGAACATCCCACAGGCGAAACGTTCCCGTTGAGAACGCCGCGAGCCAGACAACGCGACTTGCCTCTCGTCGAGAGGGACTCGGCGCTCGTCTGGCCAGCGTTATTGTCTCCTTTCCATTCCGCGATTATTACACGATAATTAATACACCAATGGCGCAGATTAATAGACTAAATAGTATTTTTGTGCTCCCGGAAGAAAGGGATTTTGCGAAATGTGTTTGGATTCATTACAGTACAACGTGGTTGATAATATTAATTATTATTAACATTTATTCTTACGGTATTATTCGTAATGTTGGTTGTTATTCATTCTCATTGTTATGGCGTTATTAATAATGTTAAATAGTATTATTAGTAATTGGAATATCATTCGGTTATCCAGTGAATAACACGGTTTCTGCGGACTTACTGTATTTTGAAAGATTGGGATGAATAGAATTGTTTTTAGGCGAAAGCATATTCTCCCTCATTGTTTGTAAGTTAATTATCTGTGCGTTATAATAGGATTTAATAAACGCATCGTTCTTCTTGATTGTTTAAAATGATAAAGGTTTATAAGAATCGTATTGTTCATGGGATTATCCAATAATATTACAATGAGTAATAATAATGATTAATAATAGGTTATATCATTAATGATATTGTAATTATAAGGATTAATAGTAATCAATATTACTAATAATGTTTATCATAATAAGAATGAATAATAACTAATATTATTAGTAACATTGTAATAGTAATATTTAATTAATCCAAGAACATTTCACAACAGCTTTTCCTTCGAGAACTCAGAAATAATAATTAGACCACTATTATTCCGATCCACGCGTATTATTAGGTTATTAATCATGAAATGTCGATTCGTGTATCATTTACTCACTAAAAATCCAACGTTTCATGTTTAACGACGTAATATTTCATCGAGAACGCGTTTAGTACATTTTCAGCGGACGATTGTTTGTCGACGGAGTTCTTCCAAAAGAGCTTTGGAATTTTGAAAGCAATTTTTGCGATGGTCTTATGAACTTTCTGGGAAATAGCGAACAGGAGGACTGAAAGTGTCATTTTGTATCTAAGAATACCAATTTGGGAATATAAGTAGTGTTAGCAGAATTAGCGATTGAATTTGAAATTGACTTGATTAGAAAGATATAATAAGAACGCTGATTGGTGACACAGAAAACTTAGTTTGAGCAGTCGAAGCAAACAGAAAACAATATATTGATACGTATGGCAGTGGGGACGTTTTAAACGAACGCTTGTAATTAACTGTACATAATCGAATTGGTTAAAGTGGATTAAGAGATTTAACGATCGTAATCGAGGGTATTTAATATAAGCACTTCTATAGATTGAAAAATCTTAATATTCTTACTACACACAGTTTTCACATCCAGCTTTTTCGGAATAATTTCTTAAAATTAATTCGATAAACGCCAATTTACTACTTTTCAAACACAAACTCGAACACAATTGAATATTTAAAGCATCAAAGGAATCTTGTGCAAAAACACATAACACAAACAATTATTCTTTACCTTCCATATTCACATTTTTCCTATTTCAATTTTTTAGCATTTCTATTATTTTATTTTCTTCTAATCCATTAATAAATATATTAATGTTCAGACATTTTACGTGACCGTTCAATCTTATCTGTAATGTATCTCCGAATGAGGTCGCTCGATCTAGTTTAGACTGTCAGATATCTATATATTTACAATTGTTTTTAGTGTCCTACTGAATCTTGCACAGAAGCCTATTTAACTGTCCTTCTCATCTACATTTACTATCGTAAATGTATTTTTATTTTGTTAGGTATTAATGATATTTATGATGTCATAGTTCTTTTAATCCTCCAGTTCCCAGTAACATCGCCTTGTAATCACATATTTCAATACCAGTAAAATGCGAATCATTGAACTAGTCACCAAGGCACCAGTACAAAATCAATATAACAATAACCATCTATTTTTTAACAGTCATAATAAAACAAAGAATAGAAAAATATTTTTGTAACAAATGATAACTTAGTTAACGTATATTGTAAAAATAAATATATATCTCCTAAAAGTATATATTTACGATCCAAAGGGTTAACCCATTATCCATTCATACCTAATTCGCGTTCTGAGTTAATTATAATTACAAAATGAATCATTTACACTCGGACAGCGCTATTTAATTTGACATATGAAAATGATAAAATTTAATATTCATACATTTCTATTTATGACCTAAAAGATTAAGAAAAATGTGTCATCTCTCCTCTAATTACCCTATACAGTATTCTCGCGATTAGTACCCGGTCCGATCTGCAGGATGAGTAACTACCCGATAGTCATTTCCACCACTGAGGGGCAAGTCCCCTCGGCAAGTCAAAAAGTTTGACCGTCGAGCAGTTGTAATATAATACGCTGTTCAATGAGGTAGATATCGGTGAGACAATATTAATGCGCTAATAAAATTCTTTTATGAGGGACATTTCGTTTTGTAAACGAAACGTTTACTAACGCATTTCTGAGATTTTTCTGATTAAGACAAGACCAAACACGACATCCTTCAAGTCACAATTTACTAGAAGAAAATAGATTATTGTAATTCATTCAATGAATAAATACATTGCAAAATATATCGTGTTCGATCTCGTTTTAATCAGGAAAATTTTACTATTCAATTGGTAAAAGTTTCAATTAGTAACAGTGAAAAACAAAAAAGTTCAACATTGCATTAATACTAGAACTGCCAGAGAGGTCAGAACGACCCATTCTTGATTGCTTCTTTAACAATGATTAAAAGCATAACAGATAATTCTCTGACAAAATTACTACAGAAATTGATTCAACACAGGCAAGCTGAATTGTAAATCAATAGAAATCTCAGTAGTAGCACTGATGGAGTTTCCACAGAAAAATTACAAAAAGTCAATTTGATTGTTCGGTAGTTCTAGTATTAATATCCCACATTCATCTGTTTCTTTTGTTCCTTCCGAAGGTCTGGCATCTAGTTCTTTCATTCGCATTGTCCTCTACAGAGAACAAACAGGAACTCGACTCGGATCTTATCTCGACTTCGAATTAACACCATTGCACAATTAATACCCGGTCGCAGACCCGATTTTCAGGTACCAATCACGAGAATACTGTACACAGAAAGCAATATCAAATATGAAACTTCTGATACACTCTGTATATCGTTCGAGTTTCTCGACAGCTTTTGAAGCCGAAATTTTGCTCGTTCCTCGGCCGGCGTCTCGTGTCCGCGTTTCCCTCTCTAATTATCCGACATTTCGTCCGCGATTACTTCGATTCCCGAGGTTGACGATTAAACGGCACGCGATTGGCTCGGGCACCGTTACGGTTTTCGGTGCGCAATTTCGGTACGCGGCCGTGAAACGCAACGAGCAAATAATCGCCGCGAAGTATGCTATTCCCGGAGGCATTACGGTTACGCTCGCATAGTAAATTATTTTCGCGTGCTCCGCCATGCGGAACCTTCCCACGATTCCGCGTGCGTAACACGTACTTACGTATCGGGCCGCAATTCGTCACGACCTCGACGCGACGCGGAACTTCTTCCGATACCTTCTTTCGACGTACTTTTTGTAGCGAGGACAGGTCAATGGTGACGCCACAGGATTGTCACCTGAACAACGGTATCATCGAAATCCTCGACTAACGTGTCGGGGAAAATAGAGTAAAATGGAACGCTTTTCTTTGAATCGTAATTACAAAGTATCTGCAGGAATGAACGCATGAAACCTTTTTTTGGAAGTCTTGAATAGACATTTGGCTGCAAGGAAATAAAAGATATTTTTAATCGAAATATTTAGTTACGAATGAGAATACGATTTTGTAAAGGTATCTCTGCAAGGGTAATGTTATATTATACATCATGTGTCATCTTTTTTCTCTGCACTGGTGCAATCGAATTGGTCAGTTTTCATCTCATCTTGGATTTCAATTTGCTATAAGATCAATGCGATTACACGTAACCAGTTAAAACTATAAACGAATAACAGCAATCATTTAAAAAAGCATTCAGAATTTACAGTTCGGCATGGATAAAGAAATCACTGTGAAAAATACAGCTCAAGAAACATAGAATCCAGTACTGTAGTTACCTTGTTCAATTTTTTACTCTCGTACTCTACCGTATGGCCCTTTTTTGGGCAAATCCTGTGATCGGTAGAGTGTGGATTTCGATGCATTTATGGAACATTTTGGAAGTGGGGACTTATACGAGAAAGTATTTCTATTAGAAGAAGGTGCATGTGAAGCAACACTGCAGTAAAAGAAGTTTCGCTCAATGAAACGCACGATCGTTCCAAAAAATTGTAGAACTCGCCTGACACGAAGTACGGAAATTCGCATAAATTAACCCGAACGGCTACTCGCGAATTCATACACGGCACCCGAGGGTATAACAAGATTCCGCCGAGTAATTATGGCTAGCGATGATGACCCATCCGGGTGCTAGGCCGAATTGTCGGATGGACGTTGTAACCGGTCGATTCTCTCTTTGTTTCTCGTTCGACCGGCATTCTGTGGCTCGGGCCTGGAAAATTGCGGCCGGGAAAGAATCGAACCCATTTAATCCCGGAAAGGAAGGTCGAGGACGAGAAGTAATTCCTGCCGGTCGGATAGTTCGAGGGTTTCTATTCTCGCCGGTTATTTCGACGTCGGACGTGAGAGACCGCGGGGATCGATAGGGGCTCGTTGCGTCAGATTCAAACCGCTGACGTCATATCCAGTTCATTCATCGCGGTGGAAGAAGCTTCGACCTGTATACACCCGCAAATTAAACTCTTGGTTTATAATATCGTACCTGACCCGGTGTGAGGCTTTCAAATGGAAAGTAATATGTAGGTATATTATCAGTTAACCATGTTTATGGGGAATTTGAAAGTGCGAAATGCCACGAAATGCACGCGATTTTAGGAAACACGTAGAATACGTGAAGCGTAGTGGTTCTTGTAGTGGCCATTAGGAAAAC